CCAAAAACCTCCGTCTCCCTGTCCCCAATGCATTTCAAACAGTAAAATGTAAAAATCTCCAAGATAATTTACAAAAAAATTATATAGGAAATCTCGTGCGGCATAAATTATCTCCAATCATTGATTGATTTTTTTTTCCCTTTCAATTTTTTGGTTTTATGCCAAAATGTCAAAATCTTATCAACTTCTTTTGATTCTTTTGAGTGAAAACGGCGCAATTTTATATGTCATAATCATAACAAGACAATAATCAATAACTTGCAGTGGGCCGTAAAAATAGAACTTGACTTGAAAATCCTTCTTTAGAGAGAGAGAAAAGAAAAAAAAATAAATAAATTATAAAAATATTCTTTTAAAATTTGTTTAAAATATAAATTATCTTTTATGATTTAAAAAATTATAAATATTTTTTTATTAGAATTTTATTTATAAATAATAATAAAATTATCTGAATTATTAATTAAAATAAAATTTTAACTTTATTAAAAACGATTAATTAACTTCATGATTTATTAATAAAATAATTTATTTGTTATGAAATTTAAAATTTTAAGGAAATTAAACATTTTATAAGTGAGTTGGGTTGGATTGATTGGGTAATAAAATTGACAGATCAATTTTTTTTTAATTTAATTTTATTTTATTTGTTAGGCTGTGTTCGTTTTCTTTTTTTTTCTTAATTTTTTTTAAAGGTAGTTATGTGTAGAGGTGTGCCAAAAAATTAGACATCCTGTACCAACTCATCGTACAAAATTATACAGAATTAACGAATTTTAATCAACAGTCTGACTGATCAGTCAATTAAATTGGATCGATTAAGTGATAAAATTGACTGATCAATTAAACTGTTGGTTAAATTTTGTTAATTTCATATAATTTTATATGATGAGATGGTGCGAAATGTATAATATTTTATATTAGACTTTAAAAAAATATATATTAATACACACAGCAGCCGAAAAAAAAAAAAAAAACCGGCATTCGAAAAAAAAAAACAACAACAACAACAACGGCATTCGAGCCAAATTCGAGGCCTCGAATTCGAGGCCTCTATCACTACTGTTTAAAAAATTATAAATTCTCTTTTCTGAATTTTTTATTAACCGAATTAATTAAAAAAATAAAATTCTTAACTGCTCTGCTATACAACGATAAAATTACCTCAAATATTAATTGAAATAAAGTTATGACATCATTAAAAATTATTAATTGGCTTAATAATTTATTAATAAAATTGGTCGTTTGTTATAAAATTAAAAATTTAAAAGGACGGGATGTAATTTTCACAATCACAGAAGACAAATCATATTTTAAACAAACTTCAGGAAGCATATCTGTAATAAAAAAAAAAACTTCTTGGTAAATTACAATTACACCCCTTAAAGTTTGCTTAACATACAAATTGCTCTTTGTGGTTCTGAAAATTATATCATATTCCTTTAAGTTTTAAATCGCATAACAAATTATCCTCTTTATTAACAAATAATGAAGTCAATTAATACTTTAATGTTATCATAAATATATTTCAGTTAATAATTTAGATCATTTTATAACTGTATAGAAGAATAATTAATTATTTTATTTCTTCTGTTAAATAAAAATTTCTAACAAGAAGATATTTATAATTTCTAAAATTACAAAAATAATTTATATTTTAAACAGTGTTGATAATTTACCCAAAATTTTTTGGTTGAAAAAGGACAAATGTACTATTTTAATGTTTCCATTTCGCTGCTTTTCGGAAAGAAATTGAAGATAAAAAGACTACCAAACCAATCACTGCTTTACAAAGACTAGCGTCTCGGTTCAAAACTAAAGAGTTCCACAGGAAGAATAACATGTTCCACTTAGACCCTTTTCATTGAATTAATGTTGGAGCTATCAAAAAGGACAAAAAGTAAAACATCAAAAGATAGTCAACAGATGATTTACTTGCCGATAAGAATTGCCAAACTTGTTTAAGGAGGAATGATTAAAACTACCAACCTTATCTACACCCTTTAAATAGAAAACAGAACAATGATGCTAGATGCATAAGATGTAAATCCCACACTTATACGAGTATTGTGTAAAAAAATTTACCATTTCTTTAGGGTCTAGCATTTGTTAAATAAATACGGTGATAAATGTGATACTTCTATCTTTTTCCAAAAGAGATGGACGAAAGAACTCAACAAAATTATAGAGTTGTGTCTAAGTAATAATATTTTGAATTAAACACATGAATGATTAATCATTGTAATTAACAATAAGTTTTAGTCGTTTATACTTCGTATTTGGAAAACTTTTATATAGGGAAAAAAAAAAATTGATTTTTGAGCTGAACAAACAAGCTGAAAACTTAGAAAGTTTTATCAACCACTTTTTTAACTTATTAAAATACAGCTGTTAAGTATTTTAAATTTCAAGCTATGTAAACTACAAATCAAATTTGCCTAATAGGAGGGTTGGCAATAAATGGCAGTAGGGTGAGGTTAACATGGTAACTCTTATTGAATGAAAAGCCTCTAAGCAGGTAGCAACCATAATTGAATTGAGCCAACTAAAGCTTAAAATCAAACTCTTAAAGTCTCACAAAAAGCCAATCCCAACTCTAGGTTGGCAGATAAGAGAAGGAAAAACGACGTTTTGAGGCATAAGGTGAGGATGACTTTTAGAAGTATACGAGATCAAATTACACCTTGCATTTCAATTAAGTGAGGTCGACTATACGGATGTTTTTCATCTCTTGATAGTCAATAAAGACTTTTAGAAGCAATCTCAAGCAAAATAATCTCCAATAAACCTTCCAACCCTTTCTTAGTTTGCACATATATGTTTTCCTACAGAGCTTACCCTTCAATTGGAGCTAAAACTGTTAGACATTATAATATGCTCTCTCAATGGATCAGCTTGGCAAAATGAACAAATTGTACACAAACAATCGCATTCTACAAGCATCAAGAAAAGGCATGCCAAACTCTTGGTGGCCACTCAAAAGTAAGCACCTAATATAGGATACGTTCTCATCAAAACCAACTACCTGACTTTGACACATGCCAATCAACTCTTTTTTTTCCAAAAACACTCAAAAGACATCCAGCAAGACCTAAAGTTAAAACCTAAGTTCCCAAAAGATTTAAGCTTGAATGACAGGATTAAGTAACTCATCCATCTTAACTCTCCCCACTATAATTGAAGTTGGGGATAACAGTCCCCCGCTCAATAATCTAGAACCCCAATCATCATAATCAACTTTTAGAGATTCGTTATAGATGGGAAAACAACTCCAACACAGAAGAGTACATAATACGGTTATCTTAACATTGCATTTATCCTAGATGGAGTCAACACTCCACCAGGAAGAATGCTTTGTTGCCATTGTTGGTGAGCTTGATATATATTATTGGGTCCATTTCCTAAAAGCTTTAACTTTTGGAACAACTGGTAACTTAACATGATATCAAAACTTACGTTGGGGAAGGTTCTTTGGTCCCTGTTTGCATTCTTTCTTTTCTGTATGTATGGATGTTTACATCGTGTGCAAGACGAGGTTGCGCATAAATATGCATTATTAGACCCATTTCCTAAAAACCCCAAGTCTTTTAAACAACAAAAATGCTTTAGATCACTAATTGAAGACCACTAATAGACCACTAATGACGTGGCGCTGATGTGGACCCACCACTGATGTGATAGTTTGGGTTTTTTTTTTTTTTTTTTTTTCTTGCACTTGCCAGCTCATTAGTGGTGTTTTTAGAACTACTGATTTAGTACTCTAAATCGGAACTGTTTATCCAAATATATTTGAACCACAAAAATAGGTAATATTATCACAAAAATACGCAACTTCACTTCTAAACAATAATTATCATAGCTCTACTAGAAAAATACGTAACATTTACTACAAAATGTGTAACATACACTACAAAAATTCTTAATAGGGTCCATATGGTACACACCATTTGTACCATGGAATTCCCCCCCCCCCCCCCCCCCCCAAAAAAGCATTATTGTTATAGATACATATACTTTTACAGTAAACTGGGTCGTGCTAATCGTTGGAAGTGTAGATTTTATTTCTGGTTTTTCTGAGAAAGCAGCCTAACCCAAAGTTCAACAATAATATCCAACTGTGCTTGGGTTCTTAAGTTTGATTTGAAAAGGAAAATAAGTGGGCCTCCAAAGTTCTTAGGGAAGCAACTAAACAGGATGAGCCCAACTAAACAAAAGCCAACCTTGATTAACGTCAATGTATACAGGGCTTTGCCTTCCACTCTTGTCCACAAACAAGTCATTTATTTACATTTCTCACGGTATAGATTTAGTAGTGATTTGTTAATTGAAACAATAACAATTTGGTCAAAGAGAATTCAACCACTAATTTTCAATAACACAATATCATTACACACCAAGTTACCTCAAACAAGGAAAATGTCTTTGCCCAAAAAGGTTTAATAAACAGAAATTTAGTAATACCACAGTATTCAAACAAGAACCTTTCAAACAGTTCTATTGCAGTAGTCATGCACAAAATTTTGTAAATAGAAAAATGTCATCTAATACAAGCTCTTGATCGTTATCCATTAGCATACAAGAATGACACCCTAAAATCTAGGAGTGAAAGGGACAATATAACTTGACAACAAACAAAATACTTTTAACGAAAATTGCAGTCTTTTGAGCCCAGTGAAGCAAGAGGCCATAATGCATACATGGTAACAGTTACAGAGAGAGTACTACATTGTTATTATCCATAAGCTCCAGATAATTGAATATGCAAAAACAAGGCATTGCCATATCTCAAATGAGTCTTTGATTGTAGCAAGATCTACATAAAAGATATCATTAATAGTGTAAACTAACATAAAAGTGGAACGATAAATAAACAAAAGAAATAAGAAAGGAAATGCCAAACATACAGACACCAAAGAATGACAAAATTTAAGAGTGTGGCTTTAACTGAATTAAAAATCATGAGTTGTGCCAAAACAAATTTCTGTTTAAATATCTATCCAAGCTTAGCGTTTGCATTGTTCTGAGGAAGCCTTCCGATTAGTTGGTGCATATGCAAATTTGTTTAAATCCACACCAACATTTGACCTTCAACGAACACATACAAATTATTAAGATGCTCATAAAAGGATTTATTTAGGGGCAATAAACTTTAGCATCAAGGTCAAACAACATTACCTACTAGTAAATGTGTTCTGGACATCTTTTAGAGGGGCACAGAGACCACTAGCACGAGAACCAGATGAGAAGCACCTGAATGATGATATTATAGAAACAAACTTTTCCATTGATTTCTCTGCTATGTCAGAATAATTTGCTAAATGGGAAATGTTACATCCAAATTCCCATCATTCAGCCTTTGTCTCTGTAATTGTATCATCAAGGGTAAAAATGCCGTTACCTGACGCAGAGAAACATATTAAGTCTATTCTCCTTCTAGAGAAACAAATGTTGGAGGCATTACAGAATCGATAACAATAAGATAGAATAATTAAACAAAGTAGAAACAGTAAAGAGAATCAAATTATAGTCGAATGCAGTACATGAACACATACGAGAATTGATGGAATGTTTGCTATGAGGATCAACCATTCAATATCAAGGATGAAAGCTAGAAATGGTTGCGATGAGTCTGCACCTAGCCTGAGGTTACAACCGCAGCACAAACTTAGCCAAAGCATGTCTCATCTTAAAATGTCGACTAAATTTTAGCCCTTCTTATTTCCAATATTAAGACAAGTTCAAGGTAGCTTAAAGTAAACAAACCCATGAGAAAAGATAAACAACAAATAAGAAAAAAAATCAGTTAAGAGAATCAAAAAAGTTTTAAGCTGAAGAAACATGACTATCCGGAAGCTGGAGGAGGGATGCTTGGTTTTTGCTTTCTGAAAAAGCTGCACCAAACAAAACCTTTGCATTCTTCTCCGATGACCTCAGCTGTGGGATTAACCTAAGAAAATTAACCTTGAATGGAAAATGAAGAAAGAGAGAAGGTCGAAGTAAGAAGAGGGAGAGAGAAAAGAACTTAAACGAAGGAGAGAGAAATGAAGAAAGAGACAAACGAATGAGAGAAATCAACCCACAATAGCTTCGCTAGGGCATTTGACATGCTTGTTGGTTTCACAAAGGACTTTCGGCAACTTCGCTAGGACTTCAAGTCCTTCGAAAGCTTTGCTAGGGCATAATTTCTTTATGATAAAAATGCAAGACCAGCTAGGGTTTACAAACTGTTGTAATCGTTTTTTAGTTAGTTTTATTCTTTGAACTTTTCTTTTTTACACTTTTAAGTCCATTTAAAGGTTTTTAAAATATCATTTTGACACCGCAATCCACATATCCTAAACATGTCTCAAGTGTCCCCACTGTGTCAAAGGAAAAAAACTGAACCCATCAGACACTAGAAAACAGCGTTCAAATAGATGTTTGTGCTTCAATGCGTAGAATTAAAGAATCGTTTTCATGACTTTTTCTTGATGATTTGAAGGCACATACTTCTCTTGAACCTTAGTTTTCATCTTTAGACATGTACTTATTGATGCCAATTCCAGTGTCTAAATACCTCCTTCAACACCATGCCCACCATATCAATGTCAAACCTACAAGTTTGATCTAAACAAATATCACTCTCTGATCATCCCCCCAATCATACCAATCACAAAAACTCCTCAGTCGAAGCAAGCCAATTAGAGAACACCATAGGATCATTTGTTCATTCAAAGTCTGAAACTGTTACCTCTTCTCTAACCATAGAACCTAGTTTTCCTCACACCAAGGTTAGATTTGCATCACACAATTCACAAGAAAGCTTTAAAACTCTATGCTATTCAAACAAAAGCATTACATAGCTTTATATACATATTATGGAACTCTTACTAGTAATATGATTTGATTTCCTATTTAAAACTCAACTCCTAGCACCTAGTTTTCCTCACACCAAGGTTAGATTCATCACATAATTCACAAGAAAGCTTCAAAACTCTTAAAATTACCTAATAACTCAATGTTATTCAAACAGAAGCATTGCATAGCTTTATATATCTATTATAGAGCTCTTACTAGAAATATGATTTGATTTCCTTTCTAAACCTCAACTCCTAATGTTGCTAGTACTCATCAAGTCCATACTAACATTACTGGCTATTCCCATTCCAATTCTTATCGTTGTTGTTGCACAATACCCATCCCCATGTCCCCACATCACACTTACATCCACTCTTCCGTCCATACTTACATCCACAGATGCTATTCCATACCCTTCTACCAACAAATCTGGAAAGGACATACAAGGAAGAAGGCTGACTTCATAAACTATCTAAAATCAAATTAAACCTATAAAATAACAACTAATCACTTAACTTGACCAATATGACAATTCATGGGAAAACCATATAGCCCATGTCCAAAAAATTATGCAAATTAACAAAATATCCCTAACAAAACACTATAAAACATATGGGAAACAAAACAAATAAATATCTAACTTGAATGACTATAAATAAAACTCTACTAAGACTATAAACACGACTATGCTTGGTTTCTATAGGTCTCGCCTGAAAGCATGACCACATCCAATTTTAATTGTTTCCTTAGTCCTTAAATTTACTCTTTCTTGCTCTTCTTGTGGACTATATCACATGGCAAAGGACAAAGTATACAGGGATAAGATAATCACCATCAGTATGTAACTTGATAAATCATGTGTACCCATATAGCCTATGTCCAAAAAATTATGCAAATTAACAAATACCCCTAACAAAACACTATAAAACATATGGGAAACAAACCAAATAAATATCTAACCTGAATGACTATAAATAAAACTCTACTAAGACTATAAACACGACTATGCTTGGTTTCTATAGGTCCCGCCTTGAAAGCATGACCACATCCGATTTTAATTGTTTCCTTAATCCTTAAATTTACTCTTTCTTGCTCTTCTTGTGGACTACATCACATGGCAAAGGACAAAGTATACAGGGATAAGATAACCACCATTAGTATGTAACTTGATAAATCACGTGTAATCATTTTTTGGGGATTCTGGTATAACCATAGTTTTTTATGCAAATAGAATATATATATATAATTTGAATTAAATGATACATGCATCTGAATTTCTTATCACAAATATCAGGCTTCAGTTTCTAACATATAATTCACTAAATAACACTTTGACAGTGATAAATACTTCGAATTGGAAGAGAAACATTTGTCCGACTGCACTTATAATTCATGTTTTCTTGAAACAAGAGAAAGAAATTGCATAGTATCAATTTGAGACATATTAGTAGAAAAACTCAAGAATACAAACCAAGGATATATACGCTAAAGTGAAAGCACTACCATTTGATTACTATCAATAGAAGGCAACCTTCCTTTTCAGGATTGAGTTGTTAAAGCAACTATCATCAGAAAAAGCACTCTCAGGAATGGCATTTTGACATGTAGAAGTTGTAAGATTAGCCTTGACTAAAAGTTTCTCTTGTCTATTGTCTTGATCACGTTCATTTACAGATTTATGTGGAAAATAAGAACCCCTCACCGTAGTTTTTCTATTCTTTATTCTAGTTTTGACCTCACTTGCAGCTGAAGCAGACTTATTTTCACAATGAGGATTGACATTCTCACATTTATCTGTGGAGACATCTTCCTTGCCTAAGAGTTTTTCATTTTGATTCTCTTCATCATTTTCCTTTGCCAACTTCTGCTGAAAATGTGAACTCCTCACAGTGACCTTGGTATTCTGTATTCTAGTTTCACCCTCATCTACATCTGAGGCAGACTTCCATTCAAACTCCTTGTGCAATGTCATACAAGGTTTATGTGTTCAATGTCTAGACTGTTGCAACAAAGGACCTTGTGAACTTCTCTTGGCACCCAAAGTATCTTTTTTACCATGCAATCCTAATTACTTTATGAGCATATAAATTAGTATCATTTTATAACTGATCTTTTGGCCTATTTGAGGGGAAGTAATATTCTTACCATAACTTGGAGATTCCAAACTCTCAAGAGATTCTGTCACAACACCATTATCCACCTAAAAGAAAAGATGAAGTTTGGAATAGCATAAGATGAATTCTCACTAACAACTAATATCGATTGAAATTTAGTAGCTCCAAACTGAATAACTCACATAGTCATCTGGAGAAGAGGGCTATCGCCAGATATTTGGAGTGAAGCAGGGATGCTGGTGAGCAGTCTATTTTACAAGCAGTAGCTTTCTTGGTGACATGCTCTATAAGTCTAAAAGTTTCATTTGTTACAGATGGGTGCTTAGGTGTACTTCGAGGGGCCCTAAATCTCCTCTTTGCTTCAAGAGAAGCAAAACCTATAGCTATTAAAGGAAAACAAATGGCACCACACGTACTAAGAAACAGTGAAAACTATGAGAAACACTAGCTGCATTAATCAGCATCCTCAGAAACATAAATACACATACATGTTGAATATAGGAATTAGAGTATGTAGAATCTTTTTATTTTTAGTATTATGTATATAATTTGTGATTGTGCCAATTACTAATTTATTGCATTATTGTAGACTCGACTTTCTTCGCGCGCCCCCCTTTCGAAGAGGTGCGAATTGGTCTCCTACAGTTTGGACTCCCGTCACGGTTCTGAATCTAATCTCACAAAGTGCAATGTGAGATTGATAAACACTAAAGAGTCCAACCCGGCAAATCATTTTGGAAAATCGATTTTGAATCAAATAATGCCAAAACTGGACTGCTTTGCCAGATTACAGAGTCGCCACCTAAATATTTTATTTTTAGAAAATTTAGGAAACTCTGACTCGTGCCAAAGGCCACGTGTCTGTCATCACCAAAGTTGCCTCAGCTCGGGAACTTGGGTACGAGAGGGGAAGGTCCTAAAATGAGCACCCCCGCTCGCCAGATCAAAGATCAGCCTCTACTAACATGATATGTTGTTTTAAAAACACGTGTTCTTATTCGGTTATTAGCTAACTTTACTATATGATGCGCACACAAGTATAAACTAAGTCACGAGACTTGGAACAAATCAACTTATGTTTGTTTTCAAAAATGGTTTGAAAATGCCACCCTCAAGTGGGCTTGAAACATGATAATTTGTCATTTCGCAAAGTGGGCTTAAAACTCACATTTGATGAATTGTTCCAATTTAAGCAACAAAGCTTTCATCCACAAGCATTCATGCAGTTAATTATTTAAGCAAATAGCCTCAGGGCAAGCATGCAAAGCATGGCAACACTCACACTCATGCAGGTATGCTAAAGCGTAAAACTTACAGTGTACTCCAAGCCAAAATAAAAGATAGTTAGAAATATGCATGATCCTAACTATACAAGATACCTAATGCAACACATGCAATAATACAGCTAATAGGCTCAGCTATCTAAGATGGCATATGAATGCAACAATTTGATAACATGTTTTAAAACACGTATTCAAATATGTATTAAAATTGCGATGAAATTTGAATGATGCACCGAGCCCGGTGCATGCAAGACAAATGAATGATGCAAACATGCAAACATAAGGTACGCTAGTTGAAAATGATCCCTAATCTAACCATCGAAAGCGGATAAATAAAAGGGAGAAAGACGTAAGGTTGGAAGACGTGCACACAAACACGCACGCTTATTACAATATTGCACCCTCTCGAAGGAGGATCCGAATAAATAAGCTAAGCTAATCTAAGTTAAGCTAAGCTAACTAATCTAATTAAACTAATTAGGCTAATTATTACAAACCAATCAAATAACTAGTAAGTTACTTACTAATTATTACAATACTTAACTAATTAGCAAACTAATTAATTAAATTACAAAACCATGCTAACTAACAAGTAAAGCATTAAACAATACTGCCTCAGCTCTGCTTGAAGAAGTTGAACATGCACGCATTCGGTTTTCACCCCGAAAAGCCATCCGGTTTGCTCTTGAGAGGCTCTGTTTGCAAGGTTACTCCTAGAACACTCTGCACCATTTTACCAAATCACTGCTGGGGAGTGCACCAGTGGCCTGCCGGCCATGATGGCTTGCTGCCGGCCATCTTCCGACCAAGGGTGGGCCCTGCCGACCAACAACGAAGCATGCCGGCCAATGATAAAGCACTGTCGGCCACTGGTGTGCTGATTCACCAAATTGCAACAGAGCATACATAGAGAAAAATGGAGGGTTTTTCTAGGACATGTTTTTACTGCACCCTCTCCTTATCATCTCAAAACATCAAAGGAGGGGGGCTATTGGATTCAAAACCATCAATCAAGCATGTTCAATGCATAATGGCCAAAGATGCAAGTTGTACACTTTCAATGAATACACAAAAACAAGACTCTAAGGACCACCGCCTTATCATGCATGATCAAGGGTGATGGAGACCAAAGGAGATTGACTCATTTCATTGCTTTGAGTATGAAATGGACCAATCAACCTGGTATTCAATATAACGTCCGATTAAACACATGCAATGCAAACACAACATCCTTATCTTGATCATGTTTTACTTAATTCATTTTGTTTACTCATTTTAGCATTACCAAGCCATTCTTTAATTGATTAAGTCCAAGATAAGTGTCCTCTAATGAGAGAGGGGTCAACCAAAGGATGGTTTAAGACATGAGAGAGATCATGCCTTTGGCTAGGAGGAACCCTCAAAAGAGAGTTAAAGCCATTGAGCACAAGCTCTATCTCAAGCTTAAACACAATCATAAGGTTAACCAACCCTCAAAATAAATAGAAAAATGAAGAAATGAGGGAGGTTGCAGACTTTGTAGTGCTGAAATAGCATGCAAAGAGACACTAAATCATGCAAGCAAAACATGCACAGCATGCTCAAAAGCCAAAAGCCTTAAAACTAATGAAGAGCACTACACTAGAGACATGCAATATCAAACTCAAATGGCCAAACCAGCTCTGAACAGAGCTTAAACATGCCAAAACAATGGTCTAAACATGCTGAGATAGAAGCTCAAAAGACGAGGAAAACATGCACACATGTTAGCCCATAAACAAGGCATAAAGCACAACTCTCAAAAGCTATGAAAGAATGATATATGTGAGACTATGACAGAGGTATATGCACTGAAATCACATATTAAATGATGCTATATCATGCAATCATCTCATGCAAAGCATGTTGGAGGCCTTGAAACACAATGCTAGTGAAGGCATTTGCATTATAGCTATACAAAGCAAAGTATATATGACCAATACCACCTAAAACAGAGCTAAAGCATGCTAAATCAGTACCTAAATCATGCTGGAGTTAAGCTAAGACAAGCTAGAATGATAGGCTAAATCATCAAATATGTTAGGCTAGTAAGCATGATTGCACTATAAGTCCAAGAAGCAAGCAACAAGTGCTCCAACCAACCAAAAACAGAGTTGAAACATGTCAAAATAGAGCCAAAAACATGGTTGAACTAAGCTACAAAAGGGTAGAAAAGCATGCTCATATCTTAGGCCATCTACACATGCAAACAAGATACAAGGAGGGGAGGCCACCCCTCCTATTTTGGACCTCAAGACCAACTTTTTCCACTGATATTCCCCAAGAATTCAGTGGTTAAAAGGCCAAGAAAAGAGTATTTTAAAAGCTTTGAAAGATGGCTCAAAAGACTTTTCAAGCCAAAGAGCAAAGGGAGGAAACCACCCCTTAACTAAACAAAGACTCAAACCATCATTTTAAGACCTAAAAATAGAGTTTTTCAGAGGTTAAAACCAGCCTCAAAGTATTGTAAAAGGATGGCCAAACACTTAACCAAAATAAAGCTTAAAAGGGACAAGTCCTTACCCTTGAAGCACAATAACAAAACAGCTGAAATTCTGAGCCAAAACCAAGCTTAAGACCTTAAATCAAGCCTCAAAGAACCTCAGTTCCAAGGTGAAGGTGTTTGGTCAAGGTTCTTCGAACAAATGTGCAGAGAATTCCCATTTTCAAGCACAAAATCAAGAGAGAGAGGATTCTAGAGAGAGAGAGAGAAATTTTTCTCACAAAATTTTGTAACTCCTTACATGCAAGAGGATGGCTCCTATATATAAAGGATACAAGAAGCCTTCAAAGAAATCCAGCGATCCACGTGCAAGCAGATGGGTCAATCTGTGCAAACAGTTGTCAAAAATAACAGAAAAATATCTACTGATGCACTGGTGGTTGGCCGACCATCAGTGATGGCCGACAGGGGCTCATTGATGGCCGGTAGGGCTCATCAATGGCCAGCAGGCCAAAGTGCATGGCCGGCAGTGCACCAAGAGAAGCATGCTGGAGGGACCAAAGCATGGTCCAAAAATGGGGCAGAAAGGATATAGGGTTTGGAAAGCTCAAACCTGTGGCGTTCCACCACAAAATTCGAGTACTCGACGAGTAATCAAACTTGTTACCGGATGTACCTGCAAGAACATCCAAGTCTTGAGGACAGTCAAAAATGGGGTGTCTACAGTTCCCTCTCTTTGACAGAACTCGGAAGTCATGAAAAGACGTGAGTGAATGTCAAAGCCCAGAGACGATCCATTTTCGACAAGGCCGAAGACTTAGACAAATATTCAAGATAATAATATAGATGAGCCCATAGGCTGGGGCAAAATGCAAATGATATGCACGATGTAAGAGCATAACTCATGATTATGCAAAGGGAGCTATAATAAAGCATCTAGATGCAAGCATTATTCAGAGAAAATGCCACATTTTAAGCGAATCAACAAGGTACAGTAATCTCACACATGAGAAAAAGTAAGCGAATAAACACGCCACGCGTGAGACTCACAAATCAAACTACATTTCACGCAGAAAGGATATAAGAAAATTATGCGATCTTCACTGCGCCTCAT